ATAGGTTTGCCATGACAAATTTTCTTAGTTTTCTTTCACCTGAGAACATATTGCTTTACTCCCAGAAGTATTTTGTCACTGGACATATAAATCTGGGTTGAGAGGTGTTTTCTTTCAGCACTTGTTCTATTTCCTTCTGTTCTCTATGGTTTCTAATGAAAAATCCCTATCATTCTAATTGTTTTTCTCCTGTAAGTAAAATGTCACTTTTCACTATTTTTTGTCTTTACTTTTTAAAAGTTTGACTATGACATGTATATGATAGTAGTCAGGATCTCTAGAGAAATATAACCAATAAGATGTGTATATTTATATACAGAGAGATAAATTTATTTTAAGGAATTGGCTCACACAATTATGGAGGCTGCCAAATTTAATATCGGTAGGCTGGCAGACCAGAGACCCAAGAAGTCAATACTGAAGTTTCAAGTCTAAAGGCTATTTGCCAGCAGAATATCTTCTTGCTCAGGAGAGATAAGTTTTTGTTCTATAAAGACCTTCTACTGATTAGATGAGGTCCACTCAGTTATAGAGGACAATCTGCTTAACTCAAAGTCAACAGATTTAAATGTTAATCTTATCCAAAATACACTGTCACAAAAACATCCAGAATAATGTTTGACCAAATATCTGGGCACTATCGCCCAGTCAAGTTGACACATAAAATTAACCACCACAATGGGTCTTGGTGTGTAATATTTTTTTTTTGTTGTTGTTATCATATTTAGAGTTTGCTCAGTTTCTTGAATATGTACTTTCATTTATTTGGCCAAATTTGGGGGATTTTCACACACTATTTCTTTAAATATTTTTTCATATTTAAAGAATTCTTCTCTCTTTTCAAGACTCTGATGACATGAATTTTAGATCTGTTGTTATAATCCCACAAATCCCTAAATCCCTGTTTATTAGTTAGTCTATTTTCTCTCTATTGTTCGTACTTAATGATTTATATTGCACTATTTTCAAATTCACTGACTCTTTCCTATGTTTTTCCAGTATGCTTTGGAGCCCACACTGAGTATTTTATTTTGGTGGTTGTATTTTTTAGCTCTAAAATTTCCATTTGGTTCTTCTTTATATAATCTATTACTTTGCTAAAACTTTCTATTCCTTTGCTGAATTCTCCTACTTTTTCATTTACTTCAAGCATGTTCATAATTGCTTGTTAAAGCACTGTTCTGATGCATGCTTTAAAAGCCTTGTCAGAGAATTCTAACACTGGTGTCATCTCAGTGTTGGTTTCTCCTCGTCTTTTTTCACTCAAGATAAGATTTTCTTGGTTCTTGGTAAGGGCAGTAATTTTCAGTTGAAACCTGGATATTTTAAATCTTGTTTTAGCAGGCTTCCTCTGATCTGACTCCAGCCGG